AAGTTTGTCAAGTTAAACGGACTGACCCTCTATCCGTATCTGCTACTTTCTCGTTAATCAGAGGGGTAAGAGGTGAATTGCGGGTGGGATGGGAATTGACTGAAACCATTGGAATAAAATCATGTCAGGATCCTACTCTGGTGTAATGCTTAGCTTTGTTTTCCCTATTAGCTCCCATTTTATTGTTGAGTACATGCTGTCCTGATCTGTTTGACATTATGTCCAGATGAGCCAGTGTTCAACTGGGATCTCTAGGAAAAAGACAGGTCAACAACAGAAAGGTGTACACATTTACTTAACATAAGTTTTATGAGACACAGAAGACTTCGTAGGGAATAAAGTACCCAAGAAATCGTTAAACCTGAGCATTTCCACGCTAGTTTGATGAACGTTGGAAAGTTGTGGAAGAATATGATAGGACAAAGGGTATGAGGCAAGTGTTGTAAACTGGAGGAAACTTAGCAAGGCCTGTTTATTCATATTCCTCTGTCTCTCCTTGACTTTGGAAATAAGGATGGGCACCTCCTATGTGAGGATTTTGTGGCCTATTTCCGGGGAGGATCAGAAAATCCTTCCTGCACGTGCCATTTCCCAAATTCCTGCAGTTTGAAGTATTTGATATGCCAATCAAATAGCATGTCCTGAACATCCCCCTCTCCCAGCCCATCAGTCAATGCCCTGAAGGTTACTGGCCTTCTCTAGAAACACTGTGCATTTTCTAAAAGGTAGTAGGACGAGGCCAGACATGTCTGCTACACATTTCTCTCAGTAATTGCCACCAAGAGCCTACTTTAACATCTGTCCTCTACATATCACCACCCATTTAAGGTCATTAGAAAGTTTTGAGGAAATATGGTGGGGTTTTGGTCTGTCTGAGCTCTTCATTAATAATCTACTTGATTTCACTTCTCAGAGGAAGCTGAAGTTACAGTGTTTTACCTGAATCACATAGGAAATTAGTGGCAGTGCTATGGGCAAAAATTAGAATGTGAGACCACGAGTAATAAAATAAGCCCACTAGCACTGGCCAGGTGCTCAGTTGGTTGGAGCAATGTCCTGTACACCAAAAGGTTGTGGGTTCAATTTCTGATCAGGGCACATACCTGGGGTGTGGGTTCAATCCCCCATCAGGGCACATACATTGCCCTTGCTTTTCTGGCCACTCATGCTGCTTTTCCCCTCTCTACAATCTTTTCTTTGAACTTTTTCATCTTTTTTTTCTTCTTCTTTAATTCCAGGCTTTACACGACTGAAAACACAAAGCTCATCACCAAGCAACATAGATTTTCCTTCCTCCTTAGCAGGTGGAGAGGAGTAATTTAAATATTTACAAGATTAATATTTTTCTGTCCTATGTATTCATATTCAGACACATCTAGTTTTTCTTTTAAATAATATCTATGTGAAAGGAACTGTGCTTTGGGGGGGAAAATGAGTAGCTGGAGCAATGGTCCTACAATTATTGCCGACAGTTAAATGAGAACAATTCTGGGGAAAAGAACATTCACTAAGACCTTTGCCCTTACACTATGTAAAATTTAAGAGAATCAGAAATTGATTGTTAAATGAGTTGGGCTATTATACTGAGAAAATTGCAAGACCCTTAAATCAACCAAAGTAAAAATTTAGAAAGGAAGTTAGTGACAATTTTGTTTTGTTTTTGCTGTTGTTATTTTGCTAATCTTCACCTGAGGATATTTCCTTTTCCATTGATTGTTTTAGAGAAAGTGCAAGGGTGTGAGGGCTGGGGGGAGGAAGGGAGAGGGAGAGACTCGTCAATGGGAGAGAGACACGTGGATTGGTTGCCTCCCGCACTAGCCCTGACAGAGGCCTCAGGCTCCTGCCCTTGGCCAGAATCAAACCTGCAACCTTTCACTGCACGGGCTGATGCTCTAACCACTGAGAACACAGGTCTGAGCTATAATATTAAGTTTTTACTAATTCAAAAATTTCAGAGTTTGGAC